CATATTTGCTATACATTCAAAAAAAGCATGACGGTGCCAGATTGTTTCGGGGGACTTTCACCAACTCATCAGGAGGTTGAACCTGGACATACGGTCTGCCCAGGATGCATTTGACTGAGGGATAAGGACCCGGGACATCGCCCACAGTTAGCGACACCCCTGAAAGAGAGAAGTGGTGGACTTTACTCACACCAACCTTGCAATCCTAGCAGACTGCCGGTCCAGACCCTTGACAAGTGTGTGTGTGTTGGTGCTTGGGTCTCCATCCTTGGATGCTGATTGAGCTTTATTTTTCCACTTGGGCCATTGCATCTCTTCCAAATTCTGTAGTACGTAGAAGGAAAATGTCAAAGGGAAAACTGACGAGATGAGGTGCTGCTTCTTTTGTTTTCTAATGGTGATTGGATCATTGGCAGCAAAACCAGACTGGGGATGGTAAGACCTCCAGCAGCGGGCGGATGAACGACGTACAATATCTCAACATCAATCGACCGGTGGGATTTGATTTCCACATTTCACTCTTCCTTCCACTGCCAACTCCTTTGTCAACCCTTCCCTTTTTTCCTTAAATAATAAATTCCGCCCACATCAACGGATAGGAGTGATGGTAAGAGCATGCACTCCTACCTGTCTTGCAGGGGGCTCCAGTCTCATGGGTGGGGACTCTGGGGAGCTACACCTGCTGGAAAGCGGGTCCAGCGTCCCCTGTTATACAATAAGATGAGATGAGCAAAAGCGCCTGCTGAGAACTGGGCCCAGTGTCCCACAAAACTTCTGCTAAAATCCTACTGGTGAGTCTGGTGCTACTGTCAGTAGGATGAAAATGATGATGATGATGATGATGATGATGATGAAGATGATGATGATGATATATATGAAGCTGAGATGAAGAACCTGTAGTGCCAACCCTTCCTCTTCTTCTCTATGCGGATTTCTGCCATGCAGGGCAGTGCCAGCCTTTTCTGTCTGGTACGCCTGAACTGTGATTTTGCAGTGTTGTTGTTGTTTTTTTTTTTTTTTTTTGTTTGTTTTTTGTTTGTTTGTTTGTTTTGTTTTTGAAACAGGGGCTCCGTCTATTGGTGGGGAGCAGCACCTGCTGGAAACGGGGTCCAGCGTCCCTTTTACATATTTTTTTTGAAAGAGCTTGGAGGCTGGAGCAAAAGATTTTGCGGTGCAGTGAGTTGGAACAAAGTAGCTGGGAATATGTGGATTTTCGCCACGCGTGGCAGTGCCAGCCTTTTCTGTCTGGCAGGCCCGACACATGATTTTGTGGTGGGAAAATCAGTGCCTTGGAACAAAGTAGCTGGGAGACGGACTGGTGGGTCAAGATCGAGAAGACAGAGGGGGGCCACGGGGTGTGCAGCAGGCCTGACAGCTTTTTGCTACACGCTGCATGCTAGCCACAAAGAGGAAAGGGAAGGGGGGAACAGTGAGATATATAAAGGGCTCCTGTACAGGTCACAGGTGGATTGCTTTGAAAAGCTTAGGCCAAAATTGGCCTTTGTCTTAAACCACCAGCACTGCGCGCCAAAAAACACGAACAGGCGTGCCACTTCTTTTGGCTAGGGCACCGGCGCTCCGGTTGGCTGACCCCCGAAACTTGCAGCGTATGTAGGGCCACGTCTCGGAGAAATGGCCAGCAAAGTTGGGCAGACCCAATTGCGGTTCAAAATGTTGGATTTCAAATTTCTGTCTATTGGACAGCACCATTGCTTGGCCCATACATCCGCCGCGGAAAAAAATAAAATAGAAGTGTTTCTAGGCAGATGAATTTGGGCATCCCCAAGTGCGCCGCTCATTCATCATTGTCACGGCTTGTTAACCGCCGCGACTTTAGGAAGTACTGGTGGTTTAAACGATTTTTGCCTCCTCTCTGGAGCTCTTGTGGCTCTCTTTGGTTCCCTTCCCTGTCATGCTCCGAGGGTGTTGTCGAGCGCATCGGTCCCGCACCGTGCAGGGCAGGACCCTTCTGGCCGCGTCACGCAGGAGTTGGTGTGATCCTCATCGTGAATACACATGGAGCTTCCGCAAGCCGCTCCGGCCGAGTGCGGCAGCCATACCTCTTGCGAGCCCCTACGACAGGATAGGGCCAACGTGAGGCACGACTTACCTCCGCCTTACGGGAGTTGTCACCTCCCTTCGGTGGGCGTATCCCCGTCGAGCTACCAGTCCATAGTACAAAAGCTAGTCAGTTGCAATCGCAGAGGTAGGCCAGCCGAGCGCGTTTCTCATGCGCTGTAGCATAGGGGGTACGGGCGGTTTTATGCCTCTATCGGATCCGCACGCTAACCAATGCACTGGGGGGCTGAAGCCCCAAGCGCGATTCATCGCCAGTCGACTAGGACGCATCCCACTCACCACACATACACCACATTAAGAACATAAGAATAAAACACACACACGAAACAACACACCACAACTGGCACAACACAAACAATCCTAGTCCCTTCAATAGCCATCCCATAACCTTCCGACGCGGAAATCGGATAGCCGACGCGCGCGAGACTTAGTATAAAACCGCACGGACGCAAGGCTAACCCACATCGACTCGCCATGCATGCATACGCAAGCAGTCGCAATGATGGCATACTATGTGGTACCCATAATCGCGTGGTCCGCGATAACCTCGAGGGTCGCATTCGACACTCAAGTGTTGGCTGACATGCGCCTTGAGGGGTTAATCTCTCGGCGCTAGACAACCGCCAACGGCGCCAAGTGCGGTTGAGGACCACACCCTCTTCTGCACCCTGCGGAAAGTGGGTGGTACATAGGCTCATACATATGGTGGCAATCATCCCTTATCGCCCTGGAGACCAGCTCCATCATCCAGGGCCTGGAGAGAAATCAAGGGGTTGGACTTTGACGGCTGCCACAGACTACAACGTCCAACTGTATAGAAAATCTAAAAAGCAAAGGATAAAGGAGGATCACCCTCTTCTCTCAAACACATACTCTGTTTAACCCTTGCGTACGGTCACAATAAGTCGCGCGAAACACTCAAGACATATGTATTTACATATATAGAAAGGGTTATAAGTATGTGACGATCACTTCTCACCAGCGTTGTCACGCGGGGATCCCTGGGGCCCAAGTCGGGGTAGGGGTTTCAACCCCGGACCCCCGCCGCGGGGCTACCCGACCCC